CATGAAGCATTGGCCCCCGCAGCGATGGAGCGGCTCCGCGTCGCGGGCCGTTTCTGCTTCGGGCCCCCTGGGCCCAGCATTGCCCCTGGGATGGCGAAGTGACGAGACGGCTCAGGGGAGAAGCAGCAGGGAGCATTGCCTCGAAGAACAAAAACAGCATAAACATTATATTTCTTGGAGCTCCATGCGGATGATTTCTTGGATCGGCGCTGAATCCCCCTGGTGGCGCCTCCAGCGCCGCCCCTGGCGTGCTCCGCGCCGCGCGCCAGGGAGGGGTATTCAGTGCAGAAAGATTCGAGAAACCCTCGCAGGTCTTCAACGGTTTATGTTTATGCAGCTTTTCATCCCCTACTGCCATAAGGAACCCATCGGGGGGACCCAACTTTGGGCGGTCGCACACTGGAACGTCGTGCGGTATTGGGTGACGCTCGTGCGCTCCACCGCCCAGAGGGCGGCTCCCCGCGACAGGGACTCGGTGGCGGCGGTTCCTGTTTCTCCTTTGACGAGCGCCCGTGAATGATTTCTGCCTTGACGCTCAGGTCCAGAGACCAGGCGCCTCCTCCTCAGAGCCGGCCCTTGCCGGGCCTGTCCAGGAGCGAGTTCCAGCCAGGAGCTCGAGGCGAACCTGGCAGTGGCGGCGAGGGCCAGCCCCCAGGAGGCCCCGCAGAACATGGAAGCACATCGATGCCCAGCGAATCAAACGCCCTGTGAAGCATCAGCCCCCGAAGCAGCGGGCCGCCACCCTCCCTCCGAGCTGGCCAGCTGGCGACCCAGGACCAGCAGCAGCACCCGAGAACGGGCCCCTGTCGATCCCCGAGCCAGCAACGCAGAACCCCCCCCCTCTTCCCCGGAACTGACGAGCCGGCCAAGCGGCAGCGTCCCCCCAACTGGCGCACGGGCGCCCGTTCCCGAGCCCGCCCCCTTCAAGGTCGCCCTCCAGGCACAAGTCCTGGGCGCGCCCCAGCCAGGGCCTCGAGGCGAGTCTGGCCGTGGGGAGACAGGTCCTCCTCGGAGGTTTGGCTCCACAGCGTGGACCCCCGAGGTCTCGACCCATTCCCGCGGACTCGTTTTGCACCCCGAGCCATTTTTTTGGACGGTCCCGGGGCCTTGCGAGGGCCCCCAGAGGCCGAACATTGCGAACAACAGCCAGCTTTTTGTTCAAAACGCTTGAAGCCTTGAAGAAGAGCCGCTCGCCCATAAACATTCAGTGTCGAGGCTCCGCGCGGGTTTCCTGGAGCGGCGCTGGGCATCCCTGAAAGCGCCACCCCTGGCGCCACCCCTGGCGCCACCCCTGGCGCCTCCCCTGGCGCCGCCCCCAGCGCGCTCCGCGCGCCAGGAAGGGGGGGCCCAGCGCCGACGCCAGACATCCGCGCGGAGCTCCCAACGGTTGTGTGCTACGCAGCGCGGTTCTTCGCCCGAGGTCTGGGCCGAGAGGAGCAACGCACCAGGAGCTCCCATCCTTCCTGGTGGTGTGGGGCTGCCAGTCCTCCGCGGCCCCATCTCCACAGCCTCGCGGCGCCGCTCGGGGCCATGGCGCCGCTGTGTCAGCTGGCGCTCGTCTGCCTGCTGAGCGGTGGGCCGGGGGCGCGCGGGCCTGTGCGGAGGGGTGAGGGGTGGGTTTGGGATTGCGAGTCGGACTTGACCTCCCCGTACAGTGGAGGCCCATGCCAAGACACACCCTGCTTGCCTCCAGGGTGCCCTCGATGGGTTTTCTATAGAAAGCGTGACTTTCCCACACCAACAATCGCTGGACGTCCTGGGGTCCCAGGATTGTGTTCCTGGTGGAAGGTTTCTTGTAGAAGGGGCCCGACTGTATCCCCGACGATGCGATTTGTTCAATCCTACCGTGCTTCCTCGGTTTCGACACTTCGGTCCCGTGCTCGGGCCCCGGGGACCAGCAACACATGGACCCGGGACGAAGAACTACCCCTGGGGCAGCGGTCGGGAAATTTTGGGCCGCGGATAGAAGGGCAAATTCGATTGGCAGGTGTCAGGGTCCAGGTGGTCAGGAGCGGCCAGCATGCAACACGGCTTAAGATGCTAACGCAGGGAGTATGCAACCCTCGGGAGCCAGGTTGCCTGCACAGCACGGCTGGGCCTAAGCCTCGACGCGGGGACGCTGCGCGACGGCGGCGACGGGGGGGTCACGACTTCGACGAGTGCAGGTAGAGGAGTGAATGTTGGCTCGCGGTGCTTCGTGTGCGTCGTGTAGAATCGCGCGCCCGACGCGCAATGGAGGGGCGCGTGCGGGAAGACTGCGACGGGTGCAAAGTACCCACTGCCGTTGGCTTCTCTTGCTATCCGCATGCACGCCATGTCTACAGCTAATACATGTACCTTTGCCTTCACATGCCTTGACACGTACACCCAGCATTGGCATCGTTATGCCGTTATGTCCCCAACCTGACCCCGCGATCCCAATGCGACCCCGCGATGGCTCCAAGTTGACCCCAACAGGCGACGGATGATGGCAACGAAAGAGGGGCCGCGATTCACCCAGAGGGCTCAGTCTGAAGCGCGGGCAGAGTCTGAAACCATTGATCCTGCCATGGAGTAGGGTGAGGGGGGCTGGACTGACGACGACGATGCTGGTAGCTTCCCCGTCGACCCCTTGTTGCCTGCTAAGTGTAATCTTGCTCGGGGCCGCGATTTCTCAGCTTGTCACGCTCGCAGATTGAAGCACAATCGCGCGCCCTCTCCATGCTGTGGGTCGTAGGTTGGGCACTCACGCAAACCACCCACATGAGGCTAGCCTTGCCGTCAGACGAGACAATCATAGACCGCGAAATATTGTTTCGCGCGTGAATGCGAGATGACTGGTGTAATGTGTTTGGTGACTTGGCACAGAGTCCGCATCGCCCAGCACACTGGAAAATGTCGGTGGCACACGGTCATCGAGCGATTCAAGCGCGCAGAGGCAACCTCTCCAGTTCGACGAAGATGCTGGGACAGTGTAGTTGGAAAGCACGGTGCACCCTCAGTGTGGGGCAGATTGCTGGGCGTGATATGTGTTTTTTAGCGTTACAGTGGTGGCAAGTCTTCTAGATCCTTGCGCACAAGAGTGCGCTATTTCGGAGGGAGGGACGGCAATGTAGGGGAAGGCTAAGGAGGACGAGGAGAAGGAGGCGCCAGAGAAGGAAGGGGAGAGGACAGGATAATGAGAGGAAACGAAGACGGTAGTGGGAGGGGGATGGATGCGGGATCAGGACGCGCAGAAACAGGACAAACCAGTCAGGAAGGGGGAGGGGGAGGAAAGTGAGATCAGGAGGGGAGAAAAATGAGAGGAAGTGAGCAGCCGGATGGATCGGCAAGGCGGATGCGGAC